GTATCTTCTCCTGTCATGCCAAAAATTCAATATTTCATGGGTTTCTAAGCCGCCCAATTCGATTTTTGCTCAATTCGTCTCGAATTTACGAATGTACCACTCTGTCATGGGGTCCAGCGCGTCGTACGGTCGGCCGGTCGGTGGCAGCGACGGCTGCAACCATCCGATTTGCTGCGACACGCAGTTCAGTTGAGCGACCGCTCATCGTGTGGTCGTTTGGCCGCCTGGTGGGTTGGCTGACGTCTGCTGACTGCCGAGCCGCTGGCTTGTGGACTCCTCACGAGCTCAAGCTGCATGTGTGTATGCATGTATGTTGGGCATATTTACTCAATGCAGACATTGCAATTTGTATTGTTGTTATTTGCGGTAATGTATATGAATATATTGTTGCTGTTGTTGTGCAGCGCATTTTGTGTATTCTTCATTCGACTCATACGTACACGTTCGTTGCGATTTTCAATGCCAACAGGGAGTCCAAAATGTAGCCGGAGTAGCAACAGCGGCAAAACAGCCTGAAATTCCACGCAGAAGCAACAACAACAAAACAACGCCAAGTACATGCAATAAAAATCACAAGTACAAAGCAACAAACACAAGTATATAGATATGTATGCATGTGTGTGTACTAATTCAACGCAAGTTAGGAGGAGTGAAACTAATGGACATATTCGCAGACAACATAGTGGTGATGGTTAGGGTGGGTCGATTCCGGACTTTTTTCGATTCGGGATTTCTAATAGTACGCCAAAGTTGCCTTAGTACTTCCTGATTCCAATCCAACTTTTTGTTTTGAGATCGGATTGTATCTGCAATCCCAACTCCGGCCTTCAAATTTCGGAAATTCGCCTAAAATCGTGAAATTGTCTACCAAGTGCCTGAAATACGCATCTCATGGCAAAATGTATAAAACAAAAGTTATTTGTCACGTCATTTGCTACCGAAATGGTATATGGCCGTAGGACGAACCGTTCCCGAGATACGAGCGAAAATGCGGCGAGCCAAAGCGCAAGGTGAAAATTGTTGCAGCTCTCAGCTAACCTGTATTGGTCACCCAGAACCCACCGCGTGGAGGTGGCTGCTCTTCGGGTTCCTCCCAAGCCCAACTCAGGCTTGTTTTAGTCTGAATCTGTGTCAAATTTATTGATAAAATCAGTACTAATCAGTGTACTAAACTTTGGCACTTGTTGCCTAGATTTCAGTGTAGAGCGTATAAAATGATCACGAGATTAGAAGATGCGTCTGTCACCAGTTTGACGGTTCTCTCGACTGCCACGATGTGAGAGGGGAAATCACTAAATTTCCATACTCCGACCGCCCTTTTATGAGTTCTTCCTTAGAAACTGAACAAAGAACTGGTGGA